CCAGCATTTTTTCCTACGGAAACGGTGATTATAGGAGTTTTATGGGTGGGGATATAGGATAAGCAGTGGAATATACTTAAATAACTGCTATATGAATTTTTCTTTTATAGTATCGAACAATGTTGATTTATATCTGTAGATTTATCTAATCTGTATTATCGTTCGACGTATTGCGGAAAAAGCTTGTTATAAAAATGCAGGTTTCTTATACTTCCTGAAAAAGTAGAAAAGGTGGTGAGAAGGTCGTCTATTTAAACTTACCTGAGGTCCAACTTACTGTTCTGGAGTTAGATTAGTATAGTCCGCGGCGCTAAGCGCCGCGCACACCTTCAATTTACAGGCGGAAACAACTTACTCTCAGCGGCCGCGGGAAACAAATTCAACTACATTTTTCCACTTTCCACTTATTTCTACACTGCCTATCCTACTTCCCCACTACCAATACCCCTATAACTACCGTTTCCGTAGGACAAAATGTTCAGACCAGGGGTATATGAGGTGTACTACTTAAACTACTTCATCAAACGCCTTCATCAAATTTCATACTTTAAGAAAGGGTACATTTCGATTTAGAAAAAACCCTTTTAATTCAGCACTAATTTTGAACATGTCCTGCTGTTACAACAGCATTCAGGGTTTTCAAACTACATTTCTTGTATATTTAGTCTAAAAAATCGCGCGTTTCGCTTTGAAACTAGAACAACGTCGCACAGTTCTAAAATTTTGCTATCGATGTGGCCCATGGTGTGGAGTTTATAAGTAACATGGACAGATAAAATACTTTACGAATGGCCGTTTTACGCTTCTAAAACTCTCATATCTAGAAACTATCGATGGGTACACTTTCTTAAAATATAACGTTTGAAGAGGTATTTTGCCACCAAATGACTAAGCTTCAGGGGTTCTATGGTCTATTTTCATAGTTTCTATACAATATGTTTGAATGCATAAGGGCATAGGAAATCAATCATACTACTTCGGTAATTATTTTTGAAATGTTTAGTTTTTGCAAATGACCGGATGGAAGCTTGATTAAGAGCCGGCATCCAAGACGTTAGTGAAATATCCTGAGATAAGGTTGTACATTAATTACTATTACAACCCTACTTAAGTCATTTCTTGAATCTAAACCATAATTCAGAATTTCGGTGGACAATTCACAAGATAGCAAATATACTGTATTCGGGACACCCGTCTTTTGTGTGTGCGTGTTGTGATGCTTGCGGTGGCTGTTCGCTGGCTTCGCCAACCTCGTAGTGTTTTGATTTCGGTACACCTATAGTATCCTGCGCGATAACCCATCAATGTGACGAGCCGAGGCTTTTGGGTCATTCAGTTCTACGAAGCTCCGACAGACGGAATTTATCGTATTTGATCCGAGATTAAGAATAAATACGTTCTGCATTCTTCCCGCTTTCCATTTTTTCCCCTACCGGTTGGCATTTGTTCGTTTCAATTTGTTGATAGCCAAGTCCATGTTTTGTTATTGGTATACTTTTGCGCCTTTATTGAGCCTTACCTGCTAAGTGTTCTTCCATACAGGCCGCTATGCAGTCAATTTGCGAACCGTTACCGACTGACCTCCGAGCCGAACTTGTCGATTTGTTGAAGGTTTGTTTTTTGTCCTCCATCTTCTCTTACTTGTCCCCCTTAAGGAGTATGATTCTCAGTTAACACCAGAAGCTGTCGTTTGCAAAGATCTGGACAAGTAGGTGTTAGCTTGTCACTCCAAGCGTGAAATTCAAATTCTTGTAGATTCGAAATGATCCTGCAGGCATTTGAGTACGAAACTGAGGCTGGGCATCCGGGATGGCTGGAAGAATTTTTTAAGAGCACAGAAAATGTCTTCAAAACCCCATGCGTCAAGGAGTGGGTGTCTGCTCTTCGAGAGGCTCGAGCAAAGTCTACCAAATGAATCGTTTTGTGCGAAATGATATATGGCAATCACTTTGTGGTTTTGGAATTTGTGTAATTTTTCGAATTAAAACAGGCCTCTATCAGCATCTAGTCTGTAACTGTGGGAGGCTGTACTGTTTACTATTCACTCATATTCTACTTATTTGTGGTTGGAGCCTATCACTCGAATTAGGATAGCCCTGACAACACCTTGGTATCCCATTCCGTATTTACTGATTTGGCGTCTACAGTTCCGGCTGAATCTTTCATAGACGGCTATTTAAATACCGCTTCCATTACGGGGTCTCGCCGCTCATGCTTATTATGTGGCTAACCGACAAGAACTGTCATGCAAGAAAGGGCTACCCCGGAGTCCGCTAATCTGTTGAAATACCTATCGCAATCCCCTAAGTTGATAGATAAAATACATACCGCCTCGAATTTCAGGCACCGCTTCATAGGTAATGAGAAGCAGAAGGATGCAAGATGATACAAAGTGTAGAAATGGATGGAATAGGTTGACACCCGGACAGGCGTACGTTCGCTTCAAAGAGGGGCAGCATCCAAAGTTTACTAGTCTGACATCCCTCAGTATGCTCTCTGCGTGAATAAGTATCAATATCAGTATATTGAGGGATGTGTAGGAAAAATTCCTTTGAGTGCCCTATTT